TCAGTATTATGATAAATGTGAACTCAACTTAAAACCGTGTATCTCAGACTTCAGTATTAAGATTAATGTCTACTCAGCTTAAAACTGTGTATCTCAGACTTCAGTATTAAGATTAATGTGAACTCAACTTAAAACTGTGTATCTCAGACTTCAGTATTAAGATTAATGTGAACTCAACTTAAAACTGTGTATCTCAGAGTTCAGTGTTAAGATTAATGCAAACTCAACTTAAAACTGTGTATCTAAGCCTTCAGTATTAAGATTAATGTGAACTCAACTTAAAACTGTGTATTTCAGACTTCAGTATTAAAATTAATGTGAACTCAACTTAAAACTGTGTATCTCAGACTTCTGTATTAAGATTAATGTGAACTTAACTTAAAACTGTGTATCTCAGACTTCAGTATTAAGATTAATGTGAACTCAACTTAAAACTGTGTATCTCAGATATCAGTATTATGATAAATGTGAACTCAACTTAAAACCGTGTATCTCAGACTTCAGTATTAAGATTAATGTGAAATAAACTTAAAACTGTGTATTTCAGATTAATGTGAACTTAACTTAAAACTGTGTATCTCAGACTTCAGTATTAAGATTAATGTGAACTCAACTTAAAACTGTGTATCTCAGAAATCAGTATTAAGATTAATGTGAACTCAACTTAAAACTGTGTATTTCAGACATCAGTATTAAGATTAATGTGAATAAACTTAAAACTGTGTATCTCAGGCTTCAGTATTAAGACTAATGTGAACTCAACTTAAAACTGTGTATCTCAGACTTCAGTATTAAGATTAATGAGAACTCAACTTAGAACTGTGTATCTGAGTGTTCAGTATTAAGATTAATGTGAACTCAACTTAAAACTGTGTATATCAGACTTCTGTATTAAGATTAATGTGAACTAAACTTAAAACTGTGTATCTCTGACTTCAGTATTAAGATTAATGTGAACTCAACATGAACCTGTGTATCTCAGACTTCAGTAATATGTTTTACGGTGTGACCGTTGGGGCGAGCGCAGTTGTACCATCAAAAACATTCTAAAAATTGATCAGCCACTTCAAACATCAAGCCGCACGAGACATCTCGACTAGCTGTGAAGTCACACGACGTCACAGAGCTCATCGGAGCTTACGGAGACAGCCGAGCGTTTGTTTGAAACTATAGACCAGTGCAATTTTTGGTTGAAAAACATTGTAGAGTTATTTTTGTTTCTTTGAAAGATTTCTACAAACTGATTTAGCCTTTTATGCTTTACGTAATTATTTATTTATTTGTTTTTGCAAAGGACATTGGGTAGTGCAGGAATTCTGGGAATGTTTCATAGAGAAATTTGGCTGACGTATGTACAGATTTCAATGCCAATTTCCTCTGTTCTTACACGTTCGTCTTTTGAGATCGCTGCGCTCGCTATTAAGATTAATGTGAACTCAACTTAAAACTGTGTATCTCAGACTTCAGTATTAAAATTAATGTGAACTAAACTTAAAACTGTGTATCTAAGGCTTCAGTATTTAGATTAATGTGAAATCAACTTAAAACTGTGTATCTAAGGCTTCAGTATTTAGATTAATGTGAACTCAACTTAAAACTGTGTATTTCAGACTTCAGTATTAAGATTAATGTGAACTCAACTTAAAACTGTGTATCTCAGACTTCAGAATTAAGATTAATGTGAAATCAACTTAAAACTGTGTATCTAAGGCTTCAGTATTAAGATTAATAAGATGTAAATTAGAAAGTAATATAATTATCATCTCTGTTATATATTTTCTCTAATTCTTTAGGTGTCAGTTTGATAGTCACTGGGGATTCTGGGACTGAACTATATAAATATTATCGCTCTTTCTAGCACCTAAAGCCGTCTATCTTAGAACTACCTCAGTTTTATATTTTACAATGATGTTGAAGATATAAATCCATTATCTCTGCGATTCCTTTTGTTTGATTTTACAGGAGACAGTATGTACGACACAGGTGATTCTTACTACGATCTGTCTGTGATTATTTTTGTTTAATTTTACAGGTGACAGTATGTACGACACAGGTGATAGTTGGTACGATCTGTCTGGGATTATTTTTGTTTAATTTTACAGGTGACAGTATGTACGACACAGGTGATTCTTACTTCAGATATTCTGGGATTATTTTTGTTTAATTTTGAGACTCACACAGGTGTGGATCTGTCTGGGATTATTTTTGTTTAATTTTACAGGTGACAGTATGTACGACACAGGTGATTCTTACTACGATCTGTCTGGGATTATTTTTGTTTAATTTTACAGGTGACAGTATGTACGACACAGGTGATTCTTACTACGATCTGTCTGTTATATATTTTTCTTTAATTTTACAGGAGACAGTATTGACACAGGTGATTCTTACTACGATCTGTCTGTGATTCCTTTTGTTTGATTTTACAGGAGACAGTATGTACGACACAGGTGATTCTTACTACGATCTGTCTGTGATTTCTTTTGTTTAATTTTACAGGTGACAGTATGTACGACACAGGTGATTCTTACTACGATCTGTCTGTGATTTCTTTTGTTTAATTTTACAGGTGACAGTATGTACGACACAGGTGATTCTTACTACGATTTGTCTGTGATTCCTTTTGTTTAATTTTACAGGAGACAGTATGTTCGACACAGGTGATAGTTGGTACGATCTGTCTGTGATTCCTTTTGTTTAATTTTACAGGAGACAGTATGTTCGACACAGGTGATACTTGGTACGATCTGTCTGTGATTCCTTTTGTTTAATTTTACAGGAGACAGTATGTTCGACACAGGTGATACTTGGTACGATCTGTCTGTGATTCCTTTTGTTTAATTTTACAGGAGACAGTATGTTCGACACAGGTGATAGTTGGTACGATCTGTCTGTGATTCCTTTTGTTTGATTTTACAGGAGACAGTATGTACGACACAGGTGATAGTTGGTACGATCTGTCTGGGATGTTCTTCTCCACCCCAGACAGAGACAATGACAGGTATACTTATACTGACTGTGCTGGGTACAATGAAGGTGGCTGGTGGTTTAACGCCTGTCACTATGCCTTCCTGAACGGTCCCTGGTCCCCGGGGTACTGGGAGTGGCCATGGAATCCCACAGTAAAGAATGAGGCAGAAGTAATGGGTACCACGATGATGATCAGGCAGCACTAGATCAAAACCATTAAATATTAATAACATTTTTTTTGAATTTCGGTAAATAAAAAAATCCAATGATTTGAATAGATGTTTAAAGCCGTATATGGCGTATGTACAATGTAAATTATAAGAATGAAATTATAAGAACTTATTATCTGTTTCATTACTTTATATAAAGATAGAACTTTTTCGTAAATTACAAAATCTAAGTCAATTGCGTTAAAAAGATATCACAATTTAATTTGGATTTTCTGACTGTTCTCATTGTTCAGAATTGTATGAAAAGTTTGAATTTAAATGTATTAACTGTATTTCTTTACTTTATTTTGTATTTTTCAAATATATATTTTTTTGAATCAGTTACGCCATATATGGGTTTAAAATAAAAAAAAAATACGTTATTATTTCTGTGAAAAATTATCTTAATTTTTTTTTGCAGACGACAGATCACTCATCAGAGGATTGTAAAATTATGTTTATCTCGGTGTTCTTCCTTTAAATAATGTAAATAATGGTTAGAGTTAGGTCCACCAAGTGGCAGGCTTGTTAACATCTATTTCTTCGGTAACAGAAGGAGGATTGAACATTTCTTTAAAGCAATACATTAATATGTTCTACGGTGCAACCGTTGGGGCGAGCGCAGTTATTTACTATCAAAAACCTTTACAAAGCTTTTGCTTGCACTGCCTATGCTCAGTTCATTAAAAAAGAAGAAAAGAATTAAAAGAAATCACTTCCCAGGCATCGGGATCGAGATTCCGAACTTTTCGGAAGTTTCCGACAAAATCGGAAATACCCGAGCCGTCTCAGTGACGAAAGTATGACGTCAAATAAAAAGTCCTGTTGACTCTGAACGCAGACGATAGTTTTGTAGCATGGAGATTGCATTAAATCATTGTTTGTAATTTTTTTTCAAGTACGTTGTTGCTATGTTATAGCCATCATGTTTCTATGCACTGCAAAGGATTACTGGGAGTTTGGAATTTTTTCACGCGGTGAGATAAAATTTTCTTGGAACAATGATGTACTTTATTTGTGTTCGTACACGTTAAATTGAGCTCGCTACGCGAGCGGCGCTTCGCGCCGCCTCGCTGCGCTGGCTATTTTATTATACTTTTATGTACATTAGTTGAATCTGATTGGTCGATAAACATTTGTTAAAAACAATAATGAAGCCACGCCCTCCAGCGCAGAACAGTCAACAGTGCTAAACGACGGGTGATATTCCCAAAAATAGCGACTGCCCAGAATTTATGCGTGCACGATTATATGTTATATGTTTTTGTATAAAACATTCAGTATAATATAAATAATGCATGTAGCTGATTGTAACATTGAAAATTTTCACCCCTCGAAAATCCATTGTCAAAGATGTACTTTATATGTGTTGTAATAAATTTGAACTTAGAAATAGTTTGTTTTTATTTATAAACTCTGATAATTGAAGATGCCTGGATGGAGAAGTAGGATGATGATTGATTCATTACAGTAGAACCTCTTTAATCTGACACATGGGCAATACACCTAACTGTGGTGTCCGCAAGTTCATTTCTCATTTCTAGAGATTTTAAGATATTCATATTAGAAAAAGATATAGGTATTTTTCATGTTCATGTTTTTTTCAGTATAGAGAACATTATGCTTCTATATCGTTTTCTATCCATGCGGTATTTTGATTAGATGAGCATTTATTAGCCTTTAATCTACTATACAAAAACCGCTTAAGGTATGTCACTCGTAAAATTTGTTAAATCAAGAATTTAATGAGAATTATATTCTGGAGTAGTACTCACTTAAAGTAACCCAAAATCGCAGAGAAAATAGGTGGTCAGTGTTCATCTTACTGATCTACGGTACAATGGAGTTGACCTTTTTGCACTTCAATTTTAACTATTTGGTTAATTACTTAAACTTTAATTATATTTTATCAGATATAACCATGACAAAAAATATCTTAATTTACGTAAAATATTTTGAATAATATTTATCATTGAACAAGATGTGATTGTAAAACACTAATACCCCTGTATGAAAACATACTGTAAATCACTTTTTATTCGCGATCGAGAGCTTTATTTTCGCGTAATTACGTGAGACAGTGTGTTCGCGAAAATTTTATTCTCGCATATAATAGCATTCCTTAAGATTATATAAAGCAATAACCACAATCCGTGAAAATTTTGTCTCGCTAATCAAGAGTTATTGACTATCTCGCGAAAATAAGGTGTCGCGAAATAATACTGATCTACAGTAGCAAAGATTAAACTTTTCTTAAATGCAAATTTCACTAATTGATACCAAAAGTAGGATATTCTTACTGGAAACAATTTTGAAATTTGAAAGTAGGCTAATTTTCAAGTTTTTTTTTCAATAACTACAAAAATCTCCAAGGTCTAGGTCAAGAGGTCAAGGTAATTGGTATTAAATGAAAGGTCTTGTCACATAGAATATTTATATATAGTATGGAAGCCCTAGCCCTTACCGTTCAGAAGATTTGACCAAGGTTAAACTTTTTTTAAAAGTAGGTCAGACTCCAAGGTTAAGGTCAAAAGTTCTTGTTATCAAAGGAAAGTTCTTGTCTTAAGGATTGAAAGTATGAAAGCACTAGCTCTAACCCAATATCAAAAGTTATAGGCAAGGTTAAATTTTTTGCGGACAGAAAGACAAACCGACAGACAGACAGACACTACAAAAACTATATACCCCCGAAACTTCATTTACGGGGGCATAAAAAATATTGCAAATTTATGCACATAAATGCATGTAAATTATTGTGTGACATTTTTGCACTAAAAGTAATATATTTTAGGGTATTACAAAACTAAATAATAAGAAAAAGTTGGGGTCAGTGATGTCAATTTTGAAATATTGGTCAAAATATGTGATTTTCATTCAATAAATGGCGTAGATTTTATATCAACTTATTTGATATATCTTTATTTTTTGGCAAAGTTTGTTGAAGAATGGTGGAAAACTTGTTCTAAAAATATAAATTAAGACCTATATCAAATATTCCTAGTAATATAATATGGTAAATATTCTTTGAGTAAAAGTATGTGGGTCTAAAGTTGCAAGATATTAAATTTAATATCTTTGCAGATTTGCAGAATTTTCTGCTAAATTTCCTTCCACCACAAAAAATGGTCCCTGACAAATCTTGCTTCTTTGTAGCTTTTTGTGCACTTCTTTCGTTGAATGTTAATCATTAACATTTTTGAAATTAAATACGTTATAAGAAGTGAATTTTGATAAGAAGATTTGAAGAAAGGAGTTCTGCGTGAAGTTTTCTAAAAGGCTGACGAGTGATCTACTGTTACGTGTTATTAAACTGAGATCGAGACTCAAAAATAATGATACCTTAAAATAATCGCCTGCCAAAATATTCAGATACGGCGAACGTAGATACAAAAATAATCGCCTGCAAAATATACAAATAAGTCGATACGAGTTTCTCTCGTATGAAATAAAAATGATTACCCTTAATTACCTAACAAAACAAATCACTGTTAAAAACCAATTTAAAAAAAAACTAACTAAGATATGCTAACTATATACAAATTTACACTACTTAAAATATTACTCAACTGATGAGTAAAACCTTCCACTCTCATGAGTGCTCAATAAATGAGTGCTCGGCTATTCAACATTTAACACTTAAAGAAACTTTTATTCTTTTTATATATATGTCCACTGAGTACTAGTCGAGCTTTTCCCGCAAGAGTAAGGATGCTTGAACCACGTTCTCTTATGGAAAACTGTCGGCTTACCTATAACTCCTTACCTATCACAATCTTGCGCTTCTGAAGCCAAACCAACACTGAATGTGCTAACGCTAGCATTGTGACGTTTATATACCCTTAGAGCTGTAGTCACGTGACCTGCCAACTAATGGCGCCAAATTCAAACTAAGTAAATATCATTTACATTACACTACCCCCTTCTAAGAGGAATGCGTCCTGCATCTCTAAATTCTTCAAATCTCTATCATTTAACTTAACTCTTCATAAACATATAGGACGCAAGTATGCTAATTGTTGCTCCAGTATCCACCAATAGGTTCACTGGACGCTGGTTTACTTCTGCCTTGATAAATATTTCTGCTTCGTTCTTGTCACGACTAATTCCCACCTTATTTTGCACGAATTTCTCTTCCTGAATATTTAAATTTGAAAATTTGCTGTTACCTTTTTCCGAATCCTTAGGTCTGTCTTTTGAGTAATGGTCAGTCCCTTTGTTTCCTCTGTTGTCTTGGTCGGGTTTTGGTTTCTTACATTAAAGACTTATGCGGCCACGTTTTCCACACCTATAACAAGTCCCTTGAGACATAGGACTTTTGGGCTTCTGGGTTGTCGAATTCCTCTCATACACGGACCCCGAGGTAACATTTAACAATTCAAATTTCTTAAACGGTTTAAAGTTTTGGAATTTTAATATATTAGTTCAAATTTTTAACTTTCAAAAACTCAAAATGATTTGTTATATTGAAATTGAACATTTTACATCAAAAATCTAAATTTCCAAATTTCCAAACAAGTTTTAGAATTTTAGGTTTTTCGATTTTTACCTTAGATACTAGTATTCAATATTAAAATTTCCAAAAACAATTTTTGCATTTTAAACCTTTGAGGTTTTAATCTGCTGTTTGTTAAGAAAGTTTACACTTAACAATCTGAAGTTTGATAATATTTTTCGTCTTTTGGGTATTTGAAATCAGCTTCAAATTTCTAAACTCCAACTTAGATTTTTAGAAATTCAGAATTTTGATTCAAATGTTCTAATTTCAAATAACCTAAACACTTTGAGTTTTTAGAATTTTACTTTAAATATCCAACATTTAAACCAGTCATGGAATATGAGAATACAATTTGAAAATAAAAATGTCAACAGTTCAAATTCTTGGAGAAAATATTTCAATTACCAGAATCAAACTCTACAATTAAACGAAACGGTTATGGTTATAAATGTAAAATATCTTAAATACTATGATATGATCAAACATTAAAATATGTAAACAAAGTATATGCATGTACAGGTATGAATCAATAATAATTTGAATTTGTGTGGTTAATGTACTATCGATATACAGGGTGTATATTAAAAAAAAATATTTGAGCTGAGTTTTAAAGAATCAGTGCCTTCAGAGCAAATTATTCAAATAAAAGACAAAAATATATTGAAAAATTGATTTAAGTATTCAAAATATTTTCATGATGCCCTGGGTCAGGATACTTGTGTTTTAAATAAAGCTTTGTTCTGTTCTGTTTTCTGAAAGATCGCGCAAAATAAAAATATTAACAGAGTCTAAAATCATGTTTATTCTAAGCCTGGGGTTTATGTAGGCTCCTAATAACCCTTCAGAGTTTTATTTACAAAAGAATTAAAAGAAAAAAATAAAAGAATCTACAAATGATAACTAAACTCAACTTTACATGAACTTAAAGTTTTGATTTGAGCGTTTTGATGTTTTAATAAAACACCGATATCCTCATCCTAGAAACGCCTATCCTTTGTATAAAAAAAGAAGGTATTTAATTTTTGTGTGTGTAATAATATTAACTTGGAAGTCACCAATTCTTAAATTAATCTCTTCTTTAATTAATTAATTAATCAATCATTTAATTCATTCATTCATTTAGTCTTTCTTTCTATAGACAGCATCTTAAACACCCTAGCAAAACATGGGTGTCGTAACATCCGGGGTCGAACATGTTATGCTAACGCAAACAACAAGTCACCTCATAGATTGCGGGAAAACAGATGCCAGCGCCCCCTACACTGTGCACAATGTGGATGTTTAGTCAGTTTACTGATCATAATGATTATGTAGGTGAACACATGATGTATATTGCAAAGGTAAGAGGGTTGTTTGATGAAAATAACTTGTTTGAATTTTTTGTACATGGTTGCAAAACATCTGTCGCCTATATTCGTTAAACCTTTGTGGATTTTCCTGACTGTCGCTGACAACGTAGCCCTATCCTCACGATATACGGCTCTGATGCCTGACCCGGGGGGGGGGGGGGGTCCCAAACCAGAAAACTGATTCAAGATTTTTTTTTAATCTAAAGTGTCCTAAAAGTAAAGAAAATGTGCTTATCATACTCGAAACTTCAGATCATGTCAGGAACGGTAACTCTATTCTTTGTAAATAAGATAACATTTTCATTTGTACCTCCGATATCATTATCAGATGTCGGTCCTGACTTGTTTGTCAAGTAATTTATTTTCATAAAAATGCAACTTAAATCTTGAATTCTTGCTAAACAAAACTATTTTTACTTTTTAAAAAGAAATACATTTATTTTGTTGAGAATTAAGAATAAAATTTGTGAAAGTGCAAGCATGTGTCAATCAAACATGCCAAAAAAATTGAAATTTTAATATCTTTTATATGAAATAAGATTTTTGAATAATTTTTTTGTGAAATTCTATTAAAATATATAAGTCGTAATATTATAGAGAAAAAATTGACTTCGATTCTGTGTCCAAGTACCTTTTTAAAATACTTAGTTTAACATTAATGTTAAATCTGTTTTAATTAAATCCTATGTACTTTATTGTAACGTAAAATTATTTGATAAAAGTTTACAAAATAAGAACAAGTAAATTGAAGACTGTAAAACATTGTTAAACTCTTGGGATATAAAACCAGATGCACTGATAGGAGGCCTGGAAATGTATTTCTGATGTACCCATGAAAGCTAGGCTAAATAATATAACATTTTTTAAAGTTAATATATTTTGTAAACACAAGAAATAAAATCATAATTGGTTCACTGTGTTTTTGACTGTTAAAATGGAAACAAGTGATAGCGGGGAATTACCAGACGATGGAAATCAGTCAGCTGCCTCCACAGAGAGACGACGAAAACGAGATTCCAGGAATTGTATAGATCCTCCCAGCTTGGTAATTATGAAATGAATCTTGCAATTTGTTTAATTTTTTCGGTAAAAGACTGTTCTGACCTTTAACCTAAGGATATGGTGTCTAGATAGGGCCATTTACTAAAGCTCAACAGTGTGTTCAGAAAAACATGCTGTTAGCTAAAATACAAAATGCTGTCACACTAACATGAGTTTGCACAACATGCTGTCGCAGTTACACACAATATGCTGTTGCACTTACAAACAGTATGCTGTCGTGCTAATTATTTAACACGCACAGCTATCATACTAACGAGTTCGCACAACACGCTGACACACTAAAAGCGCTTTCACCCTAAAACAAATTGTGTTTTAGTGCAACAATTTGTTATATTATACTTTCATGTAAATAACTTGTGTGTTAGTGTGAAACATTTGATAAAAAACATACTACCTGTTGTGTGTTAGTGTGATGCCACGCCTTGCTGATGTAGCATGACAGCGTGTGTATGTTAGTGTGAAAGCATGTTGTGTGTTAGTGTGAAAGTGTAATGTGGGTTAGCATGATAGAGTGTTGTGTGTTAGTGTGATGGTGTGTTGTACAGTTCACTGCTATATGTATTTGTATAAAACATTGTGTGTTAATATAAGTGTAAATAGCATGATAGCATGTTGTGTGTTAGTGTGATGGCGTGTTTTGCGAACTCATGTTAGCATGACAGCGTGTTGTATGTTAGTGTGAAAGCATGTTGTGTGTTAGTGTGAAAGTGTAATGTGGGTTAGCATGATAGAGTGTTGTGTGTTATATAGTGTGAACTCGTGATAGCACAACAACGTGTTTGTGTGGTAACGCTTCAGCATGTTCTGTGAAATCAAGTTAACTAGCATGACAGTATGTTGTGTGTTAGTGTGATGGTGTGTTGTGGGAACTCATGTTAGAATGACAGCATGTTGTATGTTAATTGGATGGCGTGTTGTGCAAACTCATGTTAGCATGACAGCGTGTTGTGTGTTAGTGTGATGGCGTGTTGTGCAAACTCATGTTAGCATGACAGCGTGTTGTATGTTAGTGTGAAAGCATGTTGTGTGTTAGTGTGAAAGTGTAATGTGGGTTAGCATGATAGCGTGTTGTGTGTTAGTGTGATGGTGTGTTGTGCAAACTCATGTTAGCATGACAGCGTGTTGTGTGTAAGTGTGAAAGTGTGTTGTGTAAGTGCGATGCTGTGTTGTGTGTAAGTGCAATGCTGTGTTGTGTTTTAGTGTGACGGCATGTTGTGTGTTAGTGCAATGGCGTGTTGTGCGAAATCATGTTAGCATGAAAGCGTGTTGTGTGTTAGTGTGAAAGCGTGTTGTGTGTTAATGCCATGGCATGTTTTGCGAACTCATGTTAGTGTGACAGTATGTTGTGTGTTTGCGTGACAGCATATTTTGTGTTAGCGCGACAGCGTGTGCTTTTGAATGATATTTGTATCAGAAACGTTTTTTTAATCTTACATTAGTTTATAAATAAAAAAATGAATTGAACAGTTGATTTCCGCCAAAAATGTGACAAAAAGATTTAACGTTATCATGTCACCTTTAGTTTAGAAATCGGGTTCGTTATTCTGTTTTCTTCGTTACTCTCTGCCTGACAACTTAATGAACTTAAATAGACTTACAAAATATATATAATATTTAGTTTATTTAATCAAACAAATATAAAAACACATTGTTCTTGGTAATGATGTATCTTGTGAAAACATGATAACTGTTTTCCTTTTAGTTGATCTTAATCGCTTGGGGGGGGGGGGGAAGGTAAATTTTCAAAAAAAAAAGAAAAGAAAAGGAAATATCATTAGTGCAGGTGTGTGTTTACAGGATAGTAAATTACAGGAAAGTTGTTTGCAGTTAAGTTTAAAATAGAAATTAGTTTGTTAACTCTGTAATATCACAGTATCTAAGATGTATACAGTAACTGATATTTTCTTCTTTAAAATTTTTGGGCAACCAAGTTTTGCGTTCGGGCAAGTCAAAATTGTAGATCACTTGCCCGAAGGACAAGTGAATATTAAAGTTAATGTCAATCCCTGTGTTGTGCGAACTCATATTAGCATGACAGCGTGTTGTGTGTTAGTGTGATGGCATGTTGTGCGAACTCATGTTAGCATGACAGTGTGTTGTATGTTAGTGTGAAAGCATGTTGTGTGTTAGTGTTAAAGTGTAATGTGGGTTAGCATGACAGCGTGTTGTGTGTTAGTGTGATGGTGTGTTGTGCGAACTCATGTTAGCATGACAGCATGTTGTTGTTAATTGGATGACGTGTTGCTCAAACTCATGTTAGCATGACAGTGTGTTGTGTGTTAGTGTGAAAGCATGTTGTTTGTTAGTGTGACAGTGTGTTTTGTGTTAGCACGACAACATGTGCTTTTGAATGCCCTGTTGAGCTCAAGCAAATTTATGGCCCTATCTGGACACCATACAAGAATGGAGACTTAACATTTTTTATCATGTCCACTGAGGCATGAAAGTATCCCCATTTAGTGTACATTCAAATGTGATTAAATTTAGCCTTTTCTTGAGGTGGGGTGGGTATATGAGGGGTATATGAGGGAGGAATTATGATCACCTCTATATTTAATGTTTTCAGTACTAAATTGTAATGGGCCTTTTCTTCAATTGAATTTTGTATCTTGTAGGACCCTGAGAATGAAACATCTGGTTTCAGTAAGTTAAGAAAGACACACACACCACTGACATACTCTGATCCACCACTGGCAAACATGGATCCACCACTGACTCACTCTGACTATACGACAGGGGACAAGTCTGAATCGGACTCGAGCAGCTCTGATGAGAGAGAAGTGAGTGACCCTGTGAGTACCTGGGAATATAAAGACCTGCTGGACTTAAACATCCGTTACCCAGAGAAACCTGAACCGATAGAAAACTTTATCCAGGAAATCAAGGACACCTTCAGAAACCGGAAGGGTTTCTGTCTGGATTGCAGTGATT